ATACACCGTCTCAGTACCTCAGCTTAGACGAGTCCTTGCTTTTATGGAAGGGTCGTTTAAGCTGGAGGCAGTGTATACGGACCAAAGCTGCTCGCTTAGGAATCAAGTCCTTTGAGCGTTGTGAGGCTGAAACCGGCTACTTGCTCCAATACCGGCTGTACACAGGCAAAAATACTGCCATGTATCCCGGACCCTTACATGGCTTTAATGACAAAACCGCGAAGGTTGTCTTACAGCTCATGGAGGGGTACCTGGATACAGGGCATGTTCTCGTTATGGACAATTGGTATAACCAATTGCTCTTAACGAGATATCTTAAAAGCCGGTGTACAGATGTATTGGGCACGATAAGCCGCCGGCGAAAGGGGATACCACATGCTATAAAGGATTTGAACCCGAAGCAGCTGGAGCGTGGGGTGTCTGTAGGTAGACATTGCGGTGACATCGCGTTGGTGGCGTGGAAAGACGTCAAACTCGTCACCGTTTTGTCTACCTACCACCAACATGAGATGGTACCGGGAAGACGTGCTGGACAGGCGGTCCTGAAGCCAACAGTGGTTCAGGAGTACAACCGATACATGGGAGGCGTAGACTTGAAAGATCAAAAGTTGTCTATGTTTTTATTAGAACGGAAAAGAAACCGGAAATGGTACATGAAAGTGTTTAAAAGGCTGTTAAACACCAGTCTTTTAAACGCTTTCATTATTTATTTGCGGAACCCCATTTACCGCATGTATTCCCACCGCCAGTTTAGGCTGAAGGTCGCCGAAGGGCTATTGAGCCGATACCCACGCGTTTCTCGGTGCCACCCAGAGTACCGAATCAACTGCAACGGCTTGTTCTTCGTTTGGAACCGGGGAATCACTTCCCTATTTATACGGAAGCTGATTCGAGGCCGGGAATTCAAAAAGAATCGCAAGCAATTGCGTTGTGTTCGGTGCACTGCTCTAAAAAAACGGGTTGTGGTCACAGTTATGTGCAAATTGTGCCAAGTCCCGTTATGTTTAGGGAAATGTTGGGAGGACTACCACACCGTGGAAAATTTGTAACTGAGAAACAACTTTCTACTAGAGACTAAAATACTAATACGAAATTTTTACATTGCAGGATGTTGTTTCTCTATACATATTTACACGGAAGAGTGATAGAACTGTGTGATTGTTGAGTGTCGTGCATGAGTAGCATCGGGTGACGGGTCGCTCACTTCTCTCTAATATATATAAATATATAACACTTGTGCACCTTCCCTATTAGCAATTCACTGTAAGTTTTTTGCTAAATAAGGGTTGTCTGGAATAAATCGCTTCCAGAGCGATAAGACCGCCTATTATACTTTGTATATATTTATTTCATTTTGTCTCGTTCTAATGTGTATTGGTGTACAATAAAGAATATATATTGATTATATTTATTAGAGAGAAGTGAGCGACCCGTCACCCGATATATCATCATCGTTATCATCATCATTACAGCCCTTCACAAGTCCACTGCTGAACATAGACCTCCCCAAGGAATGCCACAAAGCACGTCCATAGATTTCCTGCATTTCTTACCAGGTCGTCACTTCATCTATACCTCAAAACTTGAAAACGAGACTACAACCAGTGTGTGTTGCCAGTGATGACCTATGGAACTTAGACGTGGTCCTTCACCGGTATATAAATAATGCAAACTATAAATTGTAATGTAAATTGTATAATATAATAATGTTCTGTGATTGTTTTTTATTTGTAATTGTGAAAAAAAAATGTGTACATATTAAATTCACGCGCAAAAATAATTTTTTCCCATCAGTTTATACCCTCAATAGTGTAGTTATGCAAGAAGTGGAGACTGTTAAGGACTTAGGTGTAGTATTCGATAAAAAGCTTACATTTATACCACAACTAAAAAGTGTAATTAAAAGATCATCTCAGTCATTAGGTTTTGTTATAAAAAATAGTAAAGTAGTTTATACAAAAAACAAAAAAAAACTATTATACTTCTCAATTGTTAGAAGTATATTAGAATATTGTAGCACAGTCTGGCGTTCCTATTATTCTACCCATAACCTTCGCATTGAGCGCATACAGAAAAGATTTTTATGGCATTTTGCCTTTTCAACACGAAAAGCATATAAAAATGCATCATATGTAGACAGATTAAAGACATTCAAAATGGTTTCACTGTCAAAACGCCGGGACATTCTGGATTTGCAACTAAAATATTCAGAAATAACTTAAATTGCCCTTTATTACTACGTAAATTTAATTTTCGTATCCCAAGTAGATCCAAGTAGAGAGCCACAGTAACTCAGATGGTTAGAGCGCTCACTGTAAATTTCACAGTACGCGATCAAACCGGGATCGACCCCCGCCGGCAGCAATGAAATTGTTAATTGCAATTTTAAGTGCTGATTTACCAAGTGCTCGGCGGTGAAGGAAAACATCCTGAGAAAACCTGCATGGCTGATATATAAAAAAAAAAAAATATTTCGAAGACTTGTAAAGTTCGCCAACACGCATTAAGGCAGTGAAGGCTAAAACACTTTCAGAAATGACGGGGGGAGGCCTGTGCTCAGCAGTGGGACGTATATAGTCTGTAACTTTACTTTTTACTTTACTTATCCCAAGTAGATATCCTCGTAAATTGATCTCCTCCTCTCTCGCCGCCTCTTCGTAGAAATGTGCTAGGATTTAATTCCTAGACTTTGCAGACTTTTAAATACCTATAATAATGTAGTAGATATTCACCACGACTCTTTTAACGTTTTTCGGCACAAAGTTAATGAAAATATTAATGTTTGTTATAAGCAATTTTTTTGTTTTGTATTAAATTTAATAATTTTGTTTTATTTTTTATTTTAAGTTTGTAAGGTATATTTTTAGCTATTTGGTAACGGCTTGTAAGAAATGCTGTGAGCACTAAGCATGCGGTGTTTACCTATTATTGAATGTGCACTTAGTTTATATAACTGTCTTAGAATTAAGCATATGTATTAATAATGTAACATTTGTTGGTTAACCAAATAAATAAATAAAAATTATATATTATTTAATTATAACTTTTTATTTGTAATAGTGAAAAATAAAAATATACTTTCAAAACTTAAGTAACTTTAATTTTTACCCTATACAACTTGCATTTTGTCACTTTTTTGTATGCCTAATATATATGTATTTCTATTTAGTCACAGAATTCTGAGATTACCTTTTATAATCAAATTCTTTATATCATAATAGATGTAGATTTTTCTAGACAGTTTTATTATTTATCTACCATTTTATCATAACATACTAAAACTGCATATCTTCTAAAAACATTCGAAAAACCTCAACATATTAGAGACACCATACAAACACTCACACTTACTTTGCACTAAAAATCTAATAACTCCGTGCAAAAATAGAACACGTTGTATACAACCGTCTTTGATTATATACCTATCTATATAAACAAAGAACCGTGTATTACACAAGCGCGCGAACATGTTACATGTTCGCGACGCATATGACAAAAACATAAACTTTGTAAACGTTTTGCGGTAATTTTTTGTAAGATAAGTGCAGTTGTAATTTACGTCATTGAAATCAGAATTTCATTTTCTAATTGAAATAAGAATTATTTGAGCGATAAAAGTCGGTCATCATACACAAATTTCATTAAAACTAAACCTTATTGGTTTATAATGAATTATGTACCTTCTGAGATATTGAGCCTTTTTATAAATAGTTTGTTGCATGTATATATATTTATAAGGATAACATATTATTGCCAAATGTTATATCTATATGACTGTATAAGAAAAATAAAGGAAGACGCTATAATATATACACAAAAAGGTTTTGAAATGAGGTTACAAAGCGCGCGCAAACTGTCTATTGTCGAATTTTTTTGCAAATGTTTGCAAGTGAAAAAGTAGAATTATTATAATTATTACATGCATAATTTTGATTCATTTAGGAATAATATGTTGTATTGATTGTAAGAACATAAAAATAAAATAAAAACTTACGATATTTCATTCATAAAACAAAATTTATTTTCAGTAAGTACACTTTATCAAGATCCGTTAGAAACAAAGAGCTTTACATAATAAAATAAACATTTAAATGTTATGGTTATTGTTTCTACTTATCGAAAATCTTATCGGCTTTAAATAACTGTAACTAAAACCTCTTTAAACATAAATGAAAGGTCGTGAGAAACATATATATTTAAAACAAGTGCCGCCAGCTGAGGTGATGACAGAGGCCGCCGTACAAAGCTGTTTTTTGTTATGGCGGGCGCAGTAAGGGAAAGGTTAACTTTCACAATAAATACACGGTTCTTTGTTTATATAGATAGGTATATAATCAAAGACGGCTCCTACGCGGGCCCCGTCTTTGCCCACGCAAACCTTAATATTTTAAATGAACTCCAAATAGTTCAGAACCTCTTCTTTCGTCGAGCTGCGAACGCACCTTGGTACGTCCGTAATGCCGACCTTCATCGGGACTTAGAGCTCCCAACAATTCAACATTTTTTTAAAAAACTCTCTGAGAACTTCTTCAAAGCCTCGAGTCGCACCCAAACCATTTAATTCGTGAGGCAGCTTCTTATGCTGCCCCACCCCCCTCTCGCTATCGTGTCCGCAGGCCGAGAAACTCTCTCTCGGAGCCGCCTAATAAACTTTCAAACGACCTGAACTGTCTCCTGGCGGCTAAGGCCAACTCTAATTAAATAAAATTATTGTAATAACTAACATTAATTTGCCTTCGTAGGCACTCCCTCAGCGGCACTTAGCCGCCTGCTCACTCTTTTCCCAAAAGAGGGTCGCTCATGATAAGGCACAACAGAGCTTAATCAGCCGGTTGCCTGTCCCCAAAGGCGGTTTTTTAGAGGGTATCTTTAGGCGGTTTTTAGAGGGACTTAGGGTCCCCGGTAGGACAGTGAGCCCCTCATAACCACGATAGACCGGCTATCGTGGTATGCGTAATGCATTTTCCGCCTCCCTACGTATAGGGTAGCCCTTTAATTGTTTCGGGCGCAAAAAAAAAAAGACGGTTGTATACAACGTGTTCTATTTTTGCACGGAGTTATTAGATTTTTAGTGCAAAGTAAGTGTGAGTGTTTGTATGGTGTCTCTAATATGGTGAGGTTTTTCGAATGTTTTTAGAAGATATGCAGTTTTAGTATGTTATGATAAAATGGTAGATAAATAATAAAACTGTCTAGAAAAATCTACATCTATTATGATATAAAGAATTTGATTATAAAAGGTAATCTCAGAATTCTGTGACTAAATACAAATACATATATATTAGGCATACAAAAAAGTGACAAAATGCAAGTTGTATAGGGTAAAAATTAAAGTTACTTAAGTTTTGAAAGTATATTTTTACTTTTCACTATTACAAATAAAAAGTTATAATTAAATAATATATAATTTTTATTTATTTATTTGGTTAACCAACAAATGTTACATTATTAATACATATGCTTAATTCTAAGACAGTTATATAAACTAAGTGCACATTCAATAATAGGTAAACACCGCATGCTTAGTGCTCACAGCATTTCTTACAAGCCGTTACCAAATAGCTAAAAATATACCTTACAAACTTAAAATAAAAAATAAAACAAAATTATTAAATTTAATACAAAACAAAAAAAATTGATTATAACAAACATTAATATTTTCATTAACTTTGTGCCGAAAACGTTAAGAGTCGTGGTGAATATCTACTACATTATTATAGGTATTTAAAAGTCTGCAAAGTCTAGGAATTAAATCCTAGCACATTTCTACGAAGAGGCGGCGAGAGAGGAGGAGATCAATTTACGAGGATATCTACTTGGGATAAGTAAAGTAAAAAGTAAAGTTACAGACTATATACGTCCCACTGCTGAGCACAGGCCTCCCCCCGTCATTTCTGAAAGTGTTTTAGCCTTCACTGCCTTAATGCGTGTTGGCGAACTTTACATGTCTTCGAAATATTTTTTTTTTTTATATCTCAGACATGCAGGTTTTCTCAGGATGTTTTCCTTCACCGCCGAGCACTTGGTAAATCAGCACTTAAAATTGCAATTAACAATTTCATTGCTGCCGGCGGGGGTCGAACCCGGTTTGATCGCGTACTGTGAAATTTACAGTGAGCGCTCTAACCATCTGAGCTACTGTGGCTCTCTACTTGGATCTACTTGGGATACGAAAATTAAATTTACGTAGTAATAAAGGGCAATTTAAGTTATTTCTGAATATTTTAGTTGCAAATCCAGAATGTCCCGGCGTTTTGACAGTGAAACCATTTTGAATGTCTTTAATCTGTCTACATATGATGCATTTTTATATGCTTTTCGTGTTGAAAAGGCAAAATGCCATAAAAATCTTTTCTGTATGCGCTCAAGGCGAAGGTTATGGGTAGAATAATAGGAACGCCAGACTGTGCTACAATATTCTAATATACTTCTAACAATTGAGAAGTATAATAGTTTTTTTGTTTTTTGTATAAATTAATTTACTATTTTTTATAACAAAACCTAATGACTGAGATGATCTTTTAATTACACTTTTTAGTTGTGGTATAAATGTAAGCTTTTTATCGAATACTACACCTAAGTCCTTAACAGTCTCCACTTCTTGCATAACTACACTATTGAGGGTATAAACTGATGGGAAAAAATTATTTTTGCGCGTGAATTTAATATGTACACATTTTTTTTTTCACAATTACAAATAAGAAACAATCACAGAACATTATTATATTATACAATTTACATTACAATTTATAATTTGCATTATTTATATACCGGTGAAGGACCACGTCTAAGTTCCATAGGTCATCACTGGCAACACACACTGGTTGTAGTCTCGTTTTCAAGTTTTGAGGTATAGATGGAGTGACGACCTGGTAAGAAATGCAGGAAATCTATGGACGTGCTTTGTGGCATTCCTTGGGGAGGTCTATGTTCAGCGGTGGACTTGTGAAGGGCTGTAATGATGATGATAACGATGATGATATATCGGGTGACGGGTCGCTCACTTCTCTCTAATAAATATAATCAATATATATTCTTTATTGTACACCAATACACATTAGAACGAGACAAAATGAAATAAATATATACAAAGTATAATAGGCGGTCTTATCGCTCTGGGAGCGATTTATTCCAGACAACCCTTATTTAGCAAAAAACTTACAGTGAATTGCTAATAGGGAAGGTGCACAAGTGTTATATATTTATATATATTAGAGAGAAGTGAGCGACCCGTCACCCGATGCTACTCATGCACGACACTCAACAATCACACAGTTCTATCACTCTTCCGTGTAAATATGTATAGAGAAACAACATCCTGCAATGTAAAAATTTCGTATTAGTATTTTAGTCTCTAGTAGAAAGTTGTTTCTCAGTTACAAATTTTCCACGGTGTGGTAGTCCTCCCAACATTTCCCTAAACATAACGGGACTTGGCACAATTTGCACATAACTGTGACCACAACCCGTTTTTTTAGAGCAGTGCACCGAACACAACGCAATTGCTTGCGATTCTTTTTGAATTCCCGGCCTCGAATCAGCTTCCGTATAAATAGGGAAGTGATTCCCCGGTTCCAAACGAAGAACAAGCCGTTGCAGTTGATTCGGTACTCTGGGTGGCACCGAGAAACGCGTGGGTATCGGCTCAATAGCCCTTTGGCGACCTTCAGCCTAAACTGGCGGTAGGAATACAAGCGATAAATGGGGTTCCGCAAATAAATAATGAAAGCGTTTAAAAGACTGGTGTTTAACAGCCTTTTAAACGCTTTCATGTACCATTTCCGGTTTCTTTTCCGTTCTAATAAGAACATAGACAACTTTTGATCTTTCAAGTCTACGCCTCTCATGTATCGGTTGTACTCCTGATCCACTGTTGGCTTCAGGACCGCCTGTCCAGCACGTCTTCCCGGTACCATCTCATGTTGGTGGTAGGTAGACAAAACGGTGACAAGTTTGACGTCTTTCCACGCCACCAACGCGATGTCACCGCAATGTCTACCTACAGACACCCCACGCTCCAGCTGCTTCGGGTTCAAATCCTTTATAGCATGTGGTATCCCCTTTCGCCGGCGGCTTATCGTGCCCAATACATCTGTACACCGGCTTTTAAGATATCTCGTTAAGAGCAATTGGTTATACCAATTGTCCATAACGAGAACATGCCCTGTATCCAGGTACCCCTCCATGAGCTGTAAGACAACCTTCGCGGTTTTGTCATTAAAGCCATGTAAGGGTCCGGGATACATGGCAGTATTTTTGCCTGTGTACAGCCGGTATTGGAGCAAGTAGCCGGTTTCAGCCTCACAAAGATCAAAGGACTTGAATCCGAAGCGAGCAGCTTTGGTCCGTATACACTGCCTCCAGCTTAAACGACCCTTCCATAAAAGCAAGGACTCGTCTAAGCTGAGGTACTGAGACGGTGTATACATTTCTGCAAACTTTCGGTAGCAGTGGTCCACAACCGGCGCAATTTTTTCCACTTTGCGTTCATATCCCCTACTTACCAAATTTTCATTACTCACAAAGTGCAAAAATTTGGTAAGTAGCAGGAATCTAGTCCGCGACATAATTTTGCGGAATGAAGGCATTTCCAAGATCTCCGTGTCCCAGTATTCGTGAATTTTGGAACGATAGCAAAAAGATAAATAAATTAGCACGGCAAAATATCTATACAGCTCTTCAACCGTGGTATCGGTCCAGGAATCCAAGTAATTTGGAATCCTACCACCAATATCAGGGTCGGAGAGCTGAGAGATTATTTCACATGCATATTCATTTGTCTCTCTGACAATGGTCTCCATAAATTCACGATCCCAGATCTTACAAAAGATAGCGGTGGGATCTTGGGAAGAAAAAGTTGGGCCGGGCACGCGCAAATACGTTTCCTTCTGAGCCGTAAAAGATGTAAAATCTTCCGACCAGAAGAAAGTCGTATCGACAGGTGCAGCTGCTCCAGAGCTCCCTGTCATTCCTCTCATTTCTCTCCTTCCATCCGCATTCTCTATTCTTTCATTCTCTGTTCTTTCGTCTTCCATCAATGCCTCTTCATTCTCATTCTCTCTCGCTCTTTCCTGCACATTCACATGCCATTCATTCTCTTCTTCATTCTCGTCATTTTCACACTCTACGGCACTTCTCGTATCAATTTCATCACACATTACCAAATCTTCATCATCATCATCCTCAAACATATTTCGCTGATCCCGGACATGCACGTTTCGTGAATTGCGGGCTGCTTGGCGAAGACGAACAAAGTCCGGGATATCAATGTCACCTTCACCGCCCTCTTCATCGTCATCGTTTTCGCCGTCGCTGCCTGAGTCCTGAAGAATTGCCGCAATTTCTTTCAGGTTCAGGGCGCGACGGCACCTTTTCTTACCACCCGCAGCCTCAGGAACTAACGATGACGGCGATGCCATTGTCGGGGTAGAGGCATGTATCCAAGGCTAAAAAGAATAAAGCACATTAGGATACCATATTTTTACGGAAATATAAAAACGCAGAACTTGGTCTTTTTGCGAAGTACTTACACGAATGCGTCCGCTTGATGTCGCTTGGTACAGCACTGGATCGCCTTGTGTGCGTACCGTGCCTTCTGGCGTTACCACGCAAGGATAGCACGGCAACAGGCGACCTTCCGGCATCTCACGGCTCGGCCCGGCAATGGCATCGTCATGCTGACGTTTCGACATGATTCTAATAAATAAAAAAAAACATGTATTATATGCAAAATAAATTCCTCAAAATCGGTTAGTGGAGCTGAACAAAAATTCTTAGCCTTGAAAGTTCTCATCCTATTATATAATATATATATATATATATATATATATATATAAACCCACTTATAATTGCAATTAACAATTTCATTGGGGCCGGCGGGGATCGAACCTGGGTACTTGCGTACTATGAAACTTACAGCGAGCGCTAATCATCTGAGCTACCACGGCTTGCTTTATATACTTAAAAAAATTTATGGAAAATAAAAATAAACTAACAAAACATACTTTTTCTTCATTCTTTTATATCATCACTTATAAAAAAAATTATGAAGGAAACAGAAAAGGAACAGCCTTTATCAATAAAGTACTGGACAGTCAGTTTTGAACGCACGCACACATAATACAAAGTCACTGCGTATGTGTGAGTGTTGAATTAGACCTTTCGCGAATTTTTCGAAGAAAACAACAAAAATATAAAATATTACCAAAAACTACTAGTATATATAAATTCTACTTGATTTTTCCTATAAGTAAAAGTATTTACTATGGTATTCGAATAAGTAATATACTATTATTATCTTATTAGAAATCTTGACCGTTATGAATTGTTCGCGTAGAGGTTTTTTGTTTCTACTTTTTTATCAATTGAAACATAAAAAGTTACTGTTGTTGTAACTTAGATCATTCAAAAACATTACGTAGTAAAGATAAATAACATTACTTACCGTTTTTTGAAAGAAAATCCAACTAAAATCACAATCACAAAACTTCAACGATTACACAACTAATAGCAACAGCAGCGCAAAAGCGAGTGGCTGTTATATTTGATTTTGTCTATGTAACCGAGTGAATATAATTCTTCAGAATATTCTTTAGTTCGTTCAGAATCGAATGAAATAGTGTTCAATTAAAAATATACTGTATTTTTATATCAATTAAGACGAAAATAGCAGCACGTAATGCGGACATGAATACATGTCCGCGGTACTCAACGGTGTATACCGTGGACATGTCAACACGTCCACGGTACCTTAGGGGTTAAGGTTATTGGAACAAAAACAGTATGGTTTGGACATTGAACTGATCAATGTGGAAATGAAAGACAGAGAAAATGTTACAGAACTGGTGAAGGATATTGCCATGAAATTACGAGGGTGGATTGAAAAGTACTCGGCCTAACCAAGAAAATAAACACATACTAAATCAGTTATATTTTTATTTTTCTACATAATCACCATCAAGTTCAATACACTTTTGCCACCTCCCCTTCCAAGCATTTAGACCGTTGAAAAAAAATGATTCTTCCTTAGAGTCAAAATATGCGTCTACAGCTGCTTTGACCTCGTCGTTTATCGAAAATCTTTGACCTCCCAAGTGCTTTTTTAGGTTAGGGAACAGAAAGAAGTCTGATGGTGCCAGATCAGGTGAATACGGCGGATGCGGTAACAGTTCAAAGCCACAGTTGTGAATTTCAGCCATTGACTGTACTGACGTGTGAACACGGGCGTTATCTTGATGAAACAGGACTTTTCTTCTGAGCATTCCTCGACGTTTTTCTTTTATTTCCTCTCGTAAACGACGTAGTAAGGTGCAGTAGTAATCAGAGTTTATAGTCTGACCCCTTTCAAGATAATCAAATCGACTTAGCCTTTTTAGGGGGTGGTGAACCAGGTCTTCTCCACTGTTCTGATTGTTGTTTTGTTTCCGGTGTACAGTAATAAACCCATGTTTCGTCCATAGTAACAAAACGATTCAAAAAATCATCTGCATCGGCTTCAAATAACTCCAAACAGTCGCGTGAAATAGTCAATCGCGTCCTTTTTTGTTCAACTGTAAGCAGTCGCGGAACCCACCTCGCAGACACCTTGTGGAAACCCAACTCGTTGACAATGATGTTTTGAGTTCGTTCATAAGAGATGCCTATAATCTCGGCTATCTCTCTAATTTTTAATCTGCGGTCTCCCATTATTAATTCAAGTACTTTTTTAATATTTTCGTCAGTAGTTGACGTCGAAGGCCTTCCAGAGCGGGGTTCATCTTTCACACTCTCTCTACCACGCTTAAATTCTGCTATCCATTTTTTGACGGATGAATATGACAGAGCACAATCGCCTAATGTACTGACCATGTCATCATGGATGGCTTTTGATGATAGCCCCTTCTTATGGAGGTACTTAATGACGGCACGCTGCTCGATTTGCTCCATTCGCGGAAATTATGTCCGATTACTTTGTTAATAAATTTATAAAATCACAACTAATTACGCACACGTTTCGAACTTCACACAATGAACTAGTCTGAACTGAACTAAATAATGTGGGGAAAATTTGATTTTTAGAATTGAATGGATCTGTGTTAGGCCGAGTACTTTTCAATCCACCCTCGTAAATTTGAAAAATGAGGATATTGTTAAAACATGGAGAATAAAGGGACAATACATAAATAATAAACCAAAACCTATAATTGTATCATTACGATTAAGGGAAGCAAGATTAATGTGGATTAAAAACGGGAAGTCGACGGCAATGACTAATCACACAATATATAATAATAATAATAATCTACGTATATACATTTATGAACGGTTAACTCCCTAACGCGACAACTGTTTTGGTCTACTAAAGTGCAGCTTAAGGATAAGTTAAAGTATATTTGGATACAGAATGGTAAAATATTATTACGAAAAAATGAGCAATGGAAAAAAGTTGAAATTGTAGGATGTGAGAGTGATATAAATACGATTATTAAGAACTTGGAAAGTAAAAATACTAAGTCTTTAATTATTACACATTTACATTGGATTAATGGACTTTCAAGATCAGTGGCAAAGCTTCCGTAAAAGCTGAAAATCCGGGCTTGTCTTATTAAAATTGAATCAATCAATAATATCAATCAATAATATCAACTAATAAAATAACTCAGAAACTGTTTCAAATTATTTCAATTTTCCCGCGCACTCCACTGTTCGACACATGTCGACCGATGACCTGGTATTGCCTTAGCGATACGTTTATACAAAGGTACTCTGTGGCGATACTGCTGCTGTCATAAAGTGAGTTTTAATAGAGCGATTCGTTGTCTCCCTTGCTCGCGTGGGCTTTGTACGGGGCTTTCGAAAATACGATCGCTCTCTTTCTAACCTATGGCAAAATATTCTATAATGAAATATAACTACGAACTGTTTATATAGCAATTACTATTGAGCCAACAAGCCTGGCTTTACTATGAAGTTGTTTAGGAGTGCGTTAGCGACTAGCGAAGTGGTTGCGGGCCCCTCGTATGCAAGTTCATTTCACATTTCAATGTTTATGTTTGTTTTTGTTGTGTTTGTTAAAAATGTATGCTTTTTCGAAGATTTTCAGTGAAAATGGGAGGATAATAGTGTTCATTGTGATGAATATGAGTTTGTTGAAGTGCTAATCGGTGAGGAAAAGGTAAAAATATTTAAAAATGAAATTTAATATTCAATAAACATTTCTTCATAATTTAAATATAGGTACAGGACTCTTTAGTATTAAAGTTTAATTAAGTAAGGCGTATTTAAAGGTTTAATAACTCAATATTTATATTACCATACGCATTAAAAATATCAATTTGGACAGTAGCATAAAGTATGAGACCTAGGTTTAATTTTAGAGAAAATAAGTGTTACAATCTTTTTTTAACGTGAAGTCCAAATTTTAATTAAATAAATTAAAAGAATACAGAAAAATGTATTGAGGTTTTTAAAGAATAGTACTCCCTTTAGTTGTTTCCAGTTAGGTTTCTCTGTCTACTTTCCAGTATATAAAATTTTAATGGCGCCATCTACTTAATTCTATAGGTAAAGTCATTTTATCGAACGAAAATTGGTTGATTCTCACGATGGTACCTCAAGATTACGCTAGATGGCACAAATAAGCTATCGGCTAATTTATAGTGATATATGAGTTTAAAAATATCATTTTGTACGGTTTATTATGAATTAAAAATGAATAATTATAATTATAATAAATAGTCATTCTTTTATGGTAAAAAAATTAGCAAAGCTTTATCTTCTTATTATATCTATGTAATTCCTGTCGTAATCTGTTCTTTTATGCATATAACTTAAACAAAATATAATTTCGAGGTTTCACATCTGCCAGGCGTCCCTTTTTTAACTTTGTACATAGTTTGTTTGTACTTTGTTCATGCTTTTCTTTTGTTCATGTATTGTATTGTTTGTAAATATCTCAAGCAAACCCAAACGACTCTTTTCAAAACCACCGAAGGTGTGCAATTGCATATTATGTAATACAATCTATCTAGCGGTAGTATGCTTTCTGTGTGCTTTGTTTAACACATCCTTGATAGCACTGAATATGAAACTAAAGAGTGGAGACAGCTCAAGATTGATGTATTTTTATTAAACTGCTAAAAACAACAAAACCATATCTTTGACTTGCCCTAGTTTGGAGCCCTAGCTTCGCCACTGTTCAAGATATTGAATATAAGAAATTTGTTAACTTACAACTATGGCAAAGCTACTTAGTAAAAAATAATAATTCAATAAATTTCATACATATAAATATTCGTTCGTTAAGAAAAAACTTCAACGAACTTTCTATTCTTATAAATAATTGCTTGACAAACCTAGATGTAATTTGTCTCACAGAAATAAATATCAAAAAGGATGAGGTATATCAATTTGAGATGAAAGGTTATCACTGTTACTCTTACACTAGAGAAGAAAAACGAGGAGGTGGAATTATTATATATGTGAAAAATAGCATGCACTTTTAAATCCTTCAAAACAATACCCAAACATTGTATAGTGAAATTATAAAAGGACAGTTGAAAATTGAAGACCGGGAAATATACATGTTAGTTACATACAGACCGCCATGTTCAAATAAAAACTCCTTTATTAACGAAATAGAATCCATAATACGCACGATACCATCTCGTAAGGAGATTTTAATATCAATATATTGGAGGATGCAATGGATAAC